CACACACATACACCATACATGTACACACACATTAAAACCTATGTAAGATTACAAAATAATATTAATATAAAGCTAGTGTAAGAATCTGTGTTAGAAGACATGAACATTAAGTTTGAGAGAAACAGCATCAGTGTGGCTCTCAGTGTTACTTGCAAACTATCTTTTACTTTGATTTCAAATTGTCTGAACTCAAAATAAATGACATGACATCAGGAAATATTCCCTGCAGTGCTAACCAACATTTCTATAAACACCCACACAAGGTGGGAAAATGCAGGAAAGAGGAGAAAATAGTGAGTGGATTGGTTCCACTGAGATCTTCTGGTGTGTGCAAAGGATTCAGGAGGGGCCACTCAGCAAGTCACTGGTCATGCTCCACTCTCCTCCTGTACAGTGTGAAACCTGGGTATTGTGTTTTGTCATCTCAGCTCCTTCTTTCTTCCAAGCAGGCCAATTTAAATGTCCTTATAGGAACCAGCAAGTTTTGTCTGTGAAACAAATGGAAGCCACTGCTGTTTATTGAGAGTCTTGGAGGCACCTACCACCTATTGTTCGAATTTTTACATTGATTATTATGTTTATGAACATATTCCCTGTATATACTTGTGTGACAAATATACTGGTACCCTTGAAGTTCAAAAGAGGGCATTGGATCCCCTGGGAATGGAGTTCAAGTTGTGAGCCACCATGTGGTTGCTGGGAATTGAACCTGGGCCCTCTGGAAGAGCAGCCAGTGCTCTTATCCTCTGAGCCATTGCCCTTATTTTAGTTTTCACAGGAGTCTGAGGTTATTCTGGAAGCTAGATGCTGTAATTTCAGGTAAATCTCATTTAATAGGTTAAAGAATTATGGACATTTTTCATTGTTGTCATCATCATTTTGAGACAGGGTTTCTTATAGCCCTTGCTGGTCTTAAAGTCACTGTGAAGCCAAGGCTGGCCTCAAACTTTCATACTTCCTACCCTAGCTTTGATTTTGGATTAAGCTCTTAGCTCTACATATGCAGGCTTAAAAATTAATACAGCATTTTTATTTATTTTGATCATATTCATCCCGTGCTTCTTTCCAAGATCCTCCCAGATCCACCTCTCCCCACACTTCCTCTCAACTTTATCTTGTCCCCCTTTTTAAAATAAATAAGTAACTGAAACCAGTTCGTGCTGCCTGTGGGTGTGGGCCGTCCAAAGGAGTGGGACTCATCCACTGGGGACCACAGGCCGGGCTCTTCCAGGGCTTAGCTTTGCCTGCACAGGTGGGATTTTATCTTTGTAGTGGAGACAAGGGTGGGAAAGAGAAAACTGTTATGGAGCGGTGGCACTTCAGATCTGAGCATCTCCGATTTAGGAAAGAATTGTGAAAATGCCACTCAGTATTCCACCTACTTCTAGGACGAGGAAGATCAGGAGGTTGGAGGACTTGACGTGATGTTGATGTGTTAGACACTGAAGAGTGCTGTACTGGAGAAAAATTCTCTGGAAGAAGACCACGAGGATAGCTATTTTTGCAGGTGTTAGGGAGCAAAAAACCTGTGCACTCAGTGATTCCAGATTCGGGAAATGATTGTCATCAGGTAAAATGCCATTTTATTCAACTTTCATTTGCTTTTTATTTTATATGGAAGGAACTCAGAAGTGCTGGAAACACACATGTGATTATTTTGATCAAGTGTTCGTGTTAGTCATCACGGCAAAATTGATTTGGGCTTTATAGACTCATTTGTCAAAAAGCTTGGAAATATGACACACTAGTAATTACAGCAAAGACAATTGCATTCATTTTTTTCTTATTAATAGGAAGGAAAATAAGTGGTACCTACTAAGTGACATTAGGGTGACTCCCCATTTAAATATATACCCATTAACTTGAGACGAGCAAGGAGATCGGACACACACTTGTCACAGTCGGATGAGGAAATGCAGACCCTCAAGATGATAGGGGAAGCTGAGTGAATGAATCCACAATGAAACAGAGAGAGAAACATTGTGGATTTAAAGAAGGAAAATGTGGGTTTTCAGGACGCCTGAAAACCCAGGAAGGAGCAACATTAGTAGGCTTTTCCAGAGTTGGAAGGGAGCCTTGAGTTTGGCCAAGATCCAAATTACATATCTATGTTTCACCAGATGACAACTGAGGTCAAGTTTGGAGTCATCTAACAGCCCGATCCAGACCTTCTGTGAAGCCCTGGCAGCCTCTGAGATGTTCCTTGTTATCTGAGAGCACTAAATATCCCAGGCTTCAGGAATCTGCTACTAAATACGGCTCGCATTAAAAGTGTGAGCTAATATCGAAAAATCATGCAAGAGTTTGCTTAGAAACTTTCTTGTGGGGGCTCCCATTCACTCACTCCTGTGTTGGCTTTCACCCCAATCATTTAGGACTAGTCATCAGAAAACTCATGGAATTTATTAGAAGTTAGCCAATTAATTCTTTAAAGGGTTATAGCTAATGTGCACATTGTACCACAGAGTATTTGGAAAAACCGAATTAAATAAAAATCAAAACAAAACAAAACAAAAACATAGCCTTTCAGAAATTAAAAAAGAAATACAGTTTCCCATTACAGATGTTTTAAAAAGCCACATGATTCTCCCTACCCCCCAAATTCCTTGTAGTATCTTCCTGCTGTGGTTGATGGAAATCAGTAGTCAGGCCCATCTCACAAGCCTGACATCAGGCTGCTAGTAGATGGAGATTTAATAGGATGTTCTTATCGACAAAAGACTTAATGTGACCAAATGACAGCATGCACAAATAAGAGTTCATAACAGAATAATTATGTTAACCAATAAATAATGTCTGTCACCATTTCCTTTGCTCACAGGGCACACAGAGCTAAGAGATCATTTTTGGTAGTATTACCAAACAGACAACATCTTTTCTCATGCTAGCAAATTCTATTCCAATTAGGACGTAGATGGGTTTTCCCAATGAATGGATAATGTTAGGGAGTGAAGACTCCCAGGAGTAAGACACCTTGAAAATAGCTTCCCAGATGCAATGAGGGTTTTTATATACAATTTGCTGTTTGGAGTACTTAGCATGCCATCTGCACCACTTTTCCATTTTATGACATTGAGACTGTCATTAGCCTGTCTCGGGATGGAAATAGCACACACAGGCTTCTTTTGAGGCTGTTCATCAAGCGGCTCTGGATTCAGTTTCAGAGTCTAAACTCACGGTCCATGCTTCCCACCACTGTGCCATCTCCCAGAAAGGAAATGCCAACAAGCATGATGGGCAGACAATCGGGATGATGGACTTACTTATGGAAATCATCTTCTTTACACCATCTCTTACCATTACTATACTAACTATGCAATAAAAGTCATAGGAATCCAGGCTAGCAAGACAGCTCAGTAGCTGACAGAGAAGCCTGTCAATCAGAATCCACATGAAAGTGAAAGCAGAGGAATAACTCCATGAAGTCATCCTCTGAAATCTGCAATGTGCTATTCCATGCTCATAATCCTCCTACATTTTGCACATATACAGAATATTAATAAATTAATTTCCAAAGAATACCATGAAGGTGTCTTGCATTTCCACCAAGCTAGAGACACTTTGAAAGTTTCAACTTTTTGTGTTATCAATTTTCTTACCATGAGATTGGAAGAAGCCAATTTGTTTTCATTGTGTGAACAGGACTATTGAGGTGATGTAAAGAGACACGGGTGGTATTTATGTGCTAGAATATGGAGTGAATTATCAAGGTCATAGTACCACTGGTTGCTTCTCAGCTTCCCTGTCTGTTTACTTACTCCAATTTGTCATCTCCATCATTATCTCCTTGTCTTTCTCAAAAAAGCTTCAAGTGAGTCAACTGCTTTGTCCCCCATGCTTCAGGCAAAAATCAGTTTTGGCTTAACACACTAATTCAGCTGACATGTGATTATTAAACACATGTACCATGCCAAAATGAAAAAGAAATTCTATATCAAGTGTTTTAAATAAAACTTTTGAAATGCCCAAAATCTCAAGAAGCTGTAGTTTTGTTGGGCCAATAAATATACACACAGTTATAAGCAAAGGACTTGGAGACAATTCTTATGAGAGGTCTAGAAGCATGGAGAAGTTCTGAGCAGGGATCAGGGACTCAGAATTGGGAAGTCTGGGTCATTGGAAGATTTTTCCCACTGAGTTGTGTGTGGGTGTTCTCATAAATTTATATGTATTTTTTTTTTTTGCTAACTTTTCTCCTGAAAGTGCATGTCTTGTGGAGAAAAACATCTTAGAGGTGAGAAAGTTAGTATATGCAGAATGACCCACATTGCCCCTGCTCAGTCTCTGGGAGTGCACACATTTCTGTGCCTCTGTTCTTTTACCCACAACATGAGGATGATAATATCTGCAAGATGCTGGCTAAGCAGAGTTACCCATGGGGTAACCCTAGAACTGAAGTGAGTTCCTGGGGCCGGGGGTAGCAATCACAGCAATGCTTGGACCTAAGTACATGTTAGTTACCTAGTTTTCCTTTGACAGGGGTGGTGAGTTCCTGACTTGTGTCTCTTGGAAGTATGGGTGTTTGGATGGGGATAACTGTACCTTTTTGAAATGGAGGGAAAACATTGGGAATGGCATGAAGCAGTAGTGATCAGTCAGGAAGCAAGCTGAGAATTGATTGACCCTTCAAAAATACACCTGTAGTAGAGCTCCTCTTAAGAGTATTAAAACAAAAAGAAAACACCAGATAATCTCTGTCCTCAAATTTGTGTAGCAAGAAGCCATTCTTACCATTGGTCTTTAGAGATTGTTCTCAACCCTGTTCAATTTGGCAACCTAATTTAGTTAGGAACCTTTCTGCAAAGAGTTAAACAAATGTCCTCATAAGGGACCATATATTTTTTTGGGGGGGGGGCAGCCCAGAATAACTGAGTCCTTCCAATGTTTTTTATAATGGGTCAGCAGCAAGAGGGCCAGAGGGATGGGACCTCAGACTCATTTGTTCCTCAAGTAGATCTTTGGGGTCTGCCAGCTCTCAGGAACTTCCTTCAGGCCTGCCTTCAGCCAGATGCGTTTCAGATCGTTCTCAAACTTATCTGCTTCCTTTTCAGATGTCCTTCCCGGACTTTACGCTGCTGAAATTGTGTCCTCTCAATCAGTTTGTGGTATTTGTGGTGGTTCATCTTCCTTCTTTGGATCTTTAGCACATTTTTGCACTGCACCACAGTGGCATCCCAGGCATCCCTGACTTCCTGTTTGGCTTCCTTCTCCTGGCTGGGTGGACACTCGTAGAACTGGGAGGGAACCACAGTCGTTGGGACCCCAACATTCAGTCTGGGCAATAGGTATCGAGCAGTCAGCCAGCTCTCTAGAGGACTGATGTACATCTTCCTGGGAACCAGGAACTCGTCAAGCTCCAGCTGGGTCCCCTTACCAGGAAGGGAGGCCGCCCGACTTAGGCTTGCAGGCTGCAAACAGTAAAGGGGTCGGGAAGCATGACTGCCGATCACCCCAGCGCCAAGCCAGGAACGACTGAAACCTGCCCAGGGACCAGCCCTGACCAGCTGTGAAGTCAGGCGCGCCAGGAACATGGTGAGTTGATGGCCAGGCCACAGGAGCTCAAAGCAAACGGAACCAGGACAACGAGGGCCGGTGACCTCTCATCCTAAGGGACCATATGTTAAAGCTTTGGCCATCTGTCTATGGCACTCTTGAGAGATGGTGGAATTTTAAGTGGTGGGGTCCTGTGGGATGCAATTGCATCATAGGGTCCATGGCCTTGATGGGGATGCACGTTGAGACATCAGACCAGTTCTCCTTACTGCCCTGCATTGACTAGACACAAGCTATCGTCACTGGAGGGGATGGAGCCTCAACTGAGAAAAATGCTTCCATAAGATTAGTCTATAGGCAAGCCTATAGGATATTATTTTTATTATTGATGGGGGAGGGGCCAGTCCCATTCTGGCAGGTGGTCCTGGGTTCTATAAGAAAGCAGGCTGAGCAAGCCATGGAGAGGAAGCTAGTAAGCATCCTTCTCCATGGTCTCTGCCTCAGCTCCTGCCTCCATGTTCCTGTCCTGTTTGGATTTCTGTCCTGACTTCCTTCAGTGATGAACAGGGATATGAAAATGTAAGCCAAATAAACCTTTTCCTCCCCAACTTACCTTTTGGTCATGGTGTTTCACTATAGCAACAGAAATCCTACTAGGACACCCCCTTGCTTTGGCTACTGTGACACCCACATGATTGTAGAGGGTCTACAGTTGCTTTGCTCCTTGCACTTGGGCAGAACATTACAGTAGTGTGGCATGCCCAGCTGTTCACTTCTTGATAGACTTGAAGCAAATGAAGCATGGTTATAAAGAGCCAAGGGTAGGAACCCACCCCAAGGACCTACCACTGACGACCTACTTGATTCAACAAGGATCTCCTTCTTGGTGTTTTTGCAACCTCTCCAGATAGATTAGCCACTGGTGTTAGCAGTCAAAACTGGAGCCTTTGGGGACAGCTCATACTTTAATCACAACATCAACTACTTTGTCCCAGTCATAGAAGGCTGACTGACTTTCCCCGGCAGTTACTCATCACTCTGATTGCTTAGCCAAGTCAATGTCATTACCCCAGGTGGGAATGAAGGTCTGTCTTTTCCAATCTCATTATATTCTTAACATTTATTGTTTGATTTTCAGCATTGGCTGCTCTGATCTTTCTAGAAAAAAGCCGCTTCAAAATCATTTCTAAATATAGTCAGGTGTGTGCTAATTGATTTTGTTCTTTCTATTGAATTTTTCACAGCAAGAGGAGCAGCTGGAGTCAGTTTATTAACTAATTAAAACTATTTGGCTTGGGAGAGTCTTAACTAAGAACAAGAAGGGGAACCTAGTGTGGAACGGGAGAAGCACAACCTGCCCTGAGGGGCAGTGCTCACCCAGTTGACCATAGGTTGCATTCTCTATGAAGCTAGTGGCTCAGAAAGAGAATAAAAATCAAAATTGTCCTGAAAATGCTTCAGAGTAGAAATACATATAGTTAGTGTTCAGTATTGGATTGTTTATGATATTTCAATCATATTGGTATATTACAACTTTGTGTTATTTCCTCCTTCAGAACCCTGTGTTTCAAATAGGAATAACTCAGAGTCATTTAAACTGAAAAAAGAAATGGTTGACTTGTGTTGCTACAATTTGATGGCAGGTTCTTGCCACAGGCATGGGAGATATACAAGTAGGGTTTCTATGTCACTCTGCCTTTTAATCTTCCTTCCCTCTTTATATGACCAAGATATAGTTTCTGGCTGTTTTTCCCATATGTCAAAAAATAGTGTTTTAGATACAGAAAACTTAAATCCTCTTGGCTGGGAAGTTAAAATGCTATCTAGTTTGATAAGCACCATTTGTTAAAGATGCTATCTTCTTGCCAGTGGGCATTGTTAGCCTCTTTGTCAAAAATCAGGTGGGCTTATTATTATATATAAGTCCCAAATTCTGATCCATTGATCAATGTGTCTGTTTTTTTTGTTTGTTTGTTTCTTTTCTTGTGTGTGTGTGTGTGTGTGTGTGTGTGTGTGCCATTACCATGGGTTTTCATTATTCTAGCTCTGTAGAATGACTTGAAATCTGGGATGGTGATACTTTAGCAGTGTTTTTATCATTCCTGGTCTTTTGTGTTTCCATATGAAACTTAAGATTATTTTTCCATTTGTTGTGCAGTGCAGAATTTCATTGGAATTTAATAGGGATTTCTTCGAACCTGCTGGCTGATTTTTGTAAGGTGGCCATTTTCACCAATATTAACCCTAAGGATACATTAACATGGGAGGTCTTTTCATCTTCTGATAGGCTCTTCAATTTCTTTCCCAGTGTCTTAAGATTTTTATTGTACAAGTCTTTCACTTCATTGGATACATTTACTTGATGATATTTTATTTTTGGGGTTATCTTAAATGATATTGCTTTCTTGATTTCTTTCTTTACATACTTGTTGGTTCTGGGTATAAGAAGGCTATTGTTTTTTTTTTTTTTTTTTTTTTTTTTTTTTTACGTTAATTTTGTGTCCTGATAGTTTGCTAAGTGTATTATCAGCTGTAGGAGTTTTCTGGTGGAACATTGAGGGTCTTTTATGTATAGAATAATATCATCTGGACTTCTCCTTTCCTACTTGTGTCCCCTTTATCTCCTTCATCTGTCTTATTGAGTTGGTCAAGGGGTGGGGAATAGTTCAGTGGTAGAGAGTGTACATAGCATGTGCGAGGACCCCAGTTCAATCTCCAGCACTGATAGTAAGTAAAATAAATTGGGCAATACTGTTTAACTATGGTTTTATATAGCAATGACTCAATTTGTTTATGATTAATGGACACATGTTTTTAAAGGAGCAAAAAAAAAAAAAAAAAAAAACTATGAAGAGCCCTATCAAGAATATCTAGTCATCAGCGCCAAGGGCAAGACCTTTTTTGCTGTACGGCACTCAGTAGAGAATCAACTCCAGTCTCTGCACCATGCTGCTAAGTCCTTTGGTAAGTCTTTGTCTCCTGTTGAACTGAGCAGGGCACAGACTACTCAGGTTACAAGCTTGGAACTCGCTCTAGTTTGGGAGAGGAGTGACAATTGCTTTGTTGTGCCCATCCATTACCAATTGTTCACACTCTGCAAAACAGTGCCGAGAAATACAGAGGCATTAGGTCTGTGCTCCAGGGATGGAAACATTTTCACTGTACATAGATTTTTAAATGTCATTCAAAGAAAGTTTTCCTCACCAAAAAGGAGAAACCCCACCCTTATAGTTTTAATGTTGATAATCATAATGACAGCAAAATGGTAGAAATTATTTCCATTTACTATGGTTTGGGTTGTGCATATAATCTGTCAGTAAGCAACAGACATGTTCTTGACAGATGCATGGAAATAAAAAAAATTAGTTACATTTATTTGCCTCCATTTTTAGCAGATGTTATTTTTAGGCTCAACAGAATAAATATGTTTATTTATAACAAAAGATGTTATTTATGTGACTTCCAGTCCTACAAACTGTGACATCTTTCTTTAGGAGCCATGTTGTCTTTTTATTACCTTATTAATAATTAAAATTTAACTAAGCTTTTGCCAAGCACACAGGAATGTGGTGATGATTCTGAAGAGACTACCAAGAAGGAGCTGTGAATGGAAATGAAAAACAAAAAACAAAACACTATAAACGAATCACACAGGGTGAAGCGGGAGTATGCAGAGGTCTGAGCCTAAGGATCCTGCACCCAGTGCTCAAGAGTTCAGCACAGCTACAGAGCATCTTGAGGCATGGGCTTAATTATTCAGTAGTGGGAGAGAAGATGGGTGCAGAAGAAAGGTTATGCAGGGATAAGACTCACTCACCATCCTAGCGTGGATGAGTTATTGATGATGTTACACCCCAGGTTTTAATTAGTTATGAAGTGTTTCTCCAGATTTAACATTGTGAAAGTGAGTGAAACAATGGAGTGCATGAATTCATTGTTGAGTGTCTATAAGAGAGAGCGTAAGCGTTGGAGATGCACCAATGGGGAGTGGGATGAGGGTGTATCATTGGCCTGGAACAATCTATAGACTTACAGGAATGATACCATCCCTATGAATGGGATGGAGGTCTGCAGTTGGGTGACCATTTTAAAGTTACTAGTCTTCACCTGCTTACATCTAGAAGGGATTTATCTGTTGTCAGGACTCACTGGTTATTGGGGTGTTGAAGAGCAGCATTTTCTTTTGCCTTGTTAGGAACTGTGGGAACATTCTGCATGCCTGCCCTCTAAAGTTCTGTAAGTTATAAAGAGGAGCTCACAGAGGCACAGGGTGGGGGTGGGGAGGGCTGCATCAATTGAATGAGGGGGCATGCTCTGTGGTATCTTGGGGTGGGTCTGTGTAATGTTAATGTTGGTTTTCAACTTGGCAGGATCTAAGATTGGGCAAGCTTGTGAGGAATTTTCTAGAGTAGACTAATTGAGTCCCTTTCTAACTTTGGGACATGCTGTTCCATATGTAGGCATCACAGACAAAAGCCAGCTGTGTACCACTGCCCATTGCTCCTGCCTCCTGGCTGCAGGTGCAATGTGACCAGCCTCCCTAAGCTCCTGCAGCCGAAGTTACTTTTGTCTGGTATTTTATAACAGCAAAATAAGGTGCAATCTGATCTGCATGTCACTGAATGCTGTGGGCTGAGGAGGGGAAAGAACAGTCCAGAGGAAAAGGCTCAGTGCTTGAGGAGCAGTACAGGGCAGCAAGGGGGAGGCCACACAGAGACTGGTTCTGCGCAGGGAGATGCAATTAGCAAATGCATGGTGTCACAGTTTCTAAGGATGGGTCTCCCCTAGATTCCTGTGTTGGAATCTAAGATGGTGGTAAGAGTTGGAGCTTTGGGGGATAATTAAATCCGGGGCTTCTGCCCTCAGAAGTAGAATTACTGCCTGCAATCCCAGCACCCAGGGGATGGGAGGAGCCAGCTAAGATCCACAGCAAGTTTGAAGCCAGTCTCAGCTATATGAGGTCCCATCAAAGAACAAACAATGGAGTAAAAGGAAGTGGAAAGGGTGAGTCAAGGGGAACTGGACAGACCGTTAGCCCTTGGCAACACGGATGCTTTTTTTTGGGCATCTGTCCCCACTCCTGGTCCA